CAACCTCTATCTGTATTTCCTGTACATCCCACATTCACACTTTTATTAATTATTTTATTAATTATTAATTATTAAAATGAGATTCCTCTCTTTCCAACCTCTAACTGTATTACCTGTACATCCCACATTCACACTTTTATTAATTATTTTATTAATTATTAATTATTAAAATGAGATTCCTCTCTTTCCAACCTCTAACTGTATTACCTGTACATCCCACATTCACACTTTTATTAATTATTTTATTAATTATTAATTATTAAAATGAGATTCCTCTCTTTCCAACCTCTAACTGTATTACCTGTACATCCCACATTCACACTTTTATTAATTCTCACTTCCCAGCAGTGAAAAAAGGCTTACAGTGTACCTAACGCTCCACCAACCCTGTGCCAGGTCATTTTGTGACTCATAATGGAAGGTCTTACGTGTGAATTTCTTTCATCCTACATACCACCAGTGATAAAAATAGTCTTATTGTGCACTCAGCTACCAAGCCTATCAATACCCTTGTACGATTATAATCAAAGGTATAAAGGCTGATAAACTGTTTGGGGCTGCGTCGGTGGGGGTAACGAAATAATTTGGTCGGAGCGAAGGGCTAACGCTTGAAACGTCAGCTTTTGTAATCGTTACGGTGGCCAATTTACCATTTCAACTTTGTTCATATATCCAAATTATAATCAAAGGTGTTTCATGTGAATTTTCATTGGAGGATCCAATGGTTATTTTAAATTATTTCCAAGGCTGGAGCACATGATTTCAATTCTAAATAATTTAGAATGATTGGAGACAGTTAAACAAAATATTAGAATTGAGATTTAACAGTGTTAAGCAGATACTTTTAAATAATTAAGAATGATTGGACATGGCCGTGTGAAATATTAGAATTGTGATTTGACAGTACTAAGCAGATGCTTTTAAGTCAAAGCTGAAGGCCAAGGCAAATATTTGACCAACAAGGCAGTGACAAATTACTGAAATACCAAATTTGTCTTTCATATTAACTATTATTGTGAAAATTACTCCTGACAGCTTAGAGAATGCGTCTGACGTTTTCAACTGAAAAGTATGCAATTGGACGCAACTATGCGAATGAGCAGATCTTTAGTTGTAAGTTGTTATTTGCAAGTCACATGGTCAAATTTTGACTGATGCGATCAAAAGAGACACGGCATCAAATCATAATTTTGTTCGTATAATAATGGAATATCAGGTGATGGTGATTCTCTTAGACTGCTTACCATCATCTGATAAAGATTATTCTATGGAACTCTTATTAACTTAATTTGCCACCAACACCTTGCTTATAATATTTCAAACAAAAATGAGCAAGTATTACTGTTAATAATACTTTTAGTGAAAAATTTGTTTTGATAATCAAAATAATCCCTATAAAGATTAAAATACACCAACAGCAAAAAATTAAACCATAAGAATGACAAAATTTAATGATAACAATCTCACCAAATGATTATAAGTAATAACAGTGTCTATGATTGAGGGGATGCAATCAGCACCTTAGTACATGCAACACAACAAGATGACTGTTGATTGACTAAAAGCTAGCGAAAGAAAAATCCTTTACAGACCTTAAAAGTATACTTAACCTAAGTGACTTTTAACTCATGGATTCTCTTAAAACAGGTTTACCCCTTTGGGGTTTTCTGAAAGATTTTGTACTATATGTCTTTCGTTTGGAGGTAGTGTTTTCCTCTCAGCTGATCACTACAGTGTTCTCCAAGAGCACCATGGCTACTTGTCTCTGAAACACTGGTTACATGAAGTAGACATAACAATAAATTACCTGTCTTGATCTGGAATAAAAATAAACCTCTGCTAGCTGGTGTTTTGCATGGCTGGCTACAAAGAATATCTGGAGAACACTCTCATTAAAAAAATGCCAGTTTATGCTGATGTTGCAAGAGCAACCCTTTTTGAGAACAAAAAAATGCACTCGTCAACTGGAATCAAGTAAAAAGTCTTCAATGTGTTAGTTTAACCGATAAGTTTTCCACTCTGAACTGCAAAATGGTAATTATTGCAGAGGAAACTATCTCTGTTAAGTCATGAAACAAAGACCAAACAATACTTAGTTATCCCTGTCAATAATTACTGAGATACCCTATCTAATGACTGTGACTTACAAAATATTAATACCTGAAAAAAATTATTTTGAGACAACTGAAATGTGAACTTGGCAGTTAGAGCTAATATCAAAGTCAGTAGAAATCGAATTAATCCACTGATTAACCTACTGTCATATATATAAACTATATTAAGTCATGTCATTTATATAAATTATATAAAGATCAACTAGAATAGAACAGTGTTATATTTGCATTCTGCAGATTTTTTTGTTTCACGGTTGAGTGGAGCTTTTCAAATATTGTAATTTCACTAAGAGGTACACCACAACAATTGGTCAAAAAAAAAGTAAGTACAAAATTTCTAACCAAAACAGCTAAGATTATCATAATGCTAATATTGGCCCATGTTCAAAAGCATTCATATTTATTCTGACGAGCAAAACAAAATGTTTAAAACCACAAAACAGCTGAATTCCATCATTTGGATACCCAATGTGCCCAAGTAATTCTTTTGAATAAAAATTGTAGAAAAAAAGGGTATTAGTGGCTTTTAAAGGAAGAAATTATGGATGTCCTTATTGAATGTTTTTTATATAAAATACCAGGAAGTCTCGAGTACAATATCATGTTGAACATAAATCTGCCCCAAGGGATTTTCTGGAGCGAAAATAATTTAAAGGGGCTTTGACAAAGGTAATGAAATCGAAACTCATTTGATCAAGCCACTGTTCGAATTTTAGTTCTCCAGATAAAATTTCCACAGTGATATTTCAAGTTGTACTCTCTGAATCGCATCTAACGGTTTAAAAATTAGGTGTGTGGAAAACAGAAAGGCGGTTTGGACTTTAAAAAAGACGGAAAATTTGACTTGAAGATAGAAATATGTGCGAGCGCCAATGTGTCAACTTCACAGAAGGCTTGACATGCAAATGCGTGCAAATGTGCATTTCACTTCGATTTCACTTACTCTCACGTAGTCGACAAACACGAGCATCACAAAGATTACAACCAGAAATAGCACACATAGATACCTCAGTTGACTTTTGATCGCATTTTTTTTCGTCAAACGGACGAATTATTCTTTAAAATTATTGTTACATGTTCTTATTTTTCCAAGAAATGGTTCGATCCAGTTAGCTCCGAGCTATGTCAACAGTGTCACGAGAGAGAAAGCGAGAAAAAATTCGTGGAAATCGCATCACCAAGTTACTATCAAAACCACAATAAACTTTACATAATTGTTCGCTTATCCTAAGTCGTAAAACTCACTACAGAGGCAATCGAAACAGTCGAAACACAATATCTGTCTAAGGTATACATAAGGCGTCAGGGAAAAAATCGGCCGGTAACTGAAAGCTTGTTTACAAGACTCAGGCTGTGGTCGAGGTGCATAACTTTGACATGTACATATACAAACATTGAAACAAACAGTATGCGAAATCGCGTAGAATTTGCAGTCGCGATCCAACTCCTTTGAACGTATAGGACATGTGGAAAACATAGTTCAGAAAAAAAGAACCATACCTGGATCATATACAACTGAGCTATCCTATACTCTTCTACGCTCATCGGTAGAGGAATTCTGTATTCTTTGATCAACATTATTTTTCGTACCAGGGCAACGAAGATTCGAAGCGATGCTGATCGTAACGTGAAATTCTCGGTGGCCTCTTTTAAACGAAGGCCAGAAACGTTAGTTTCACATGAAAGCGAAATGTACAAGAGTCGAACAGCTTGCAAGCTGTCCGCTGAAAATAAACACAACTCAAACTCCGCCGGCCGGAAGCCATCTTGAATGACGTCACGTATCGTCGGAACAGATGGCCAGCCTCATTTTCAGAATTTATGAAACGGATCCCAAACTGTTTCTCCCGTCATACGTCAAAAATTTCACTCACATCGAGAAGCGGTATGAGTAAAACGTAGTTAAAAATCTGCAAGCGATTGTGTAAGTGATATTTTACCGTTGCAATATGCAATTAATCATGAATTAAAGAGATACTACGCGCTCTATGATTGGTGGTTGCCGATGATCTGTCAGAAAGATGAGTCATGAAAACTTTTCCGTATGTTTTTTCCTGCCAAAGTTTCTGTGAATTTGTGATTTGAGCAAATGAAGGCCTTAAAAATAAAAGATAGAGATAAAAAAGATAAAAAGTATAAAAAAGAAATGAAAACATAAAGATAGACAAATGAATAGCGAAAGCTTTTTGCTGTTAGGAAAAGAGGATCGAGGAAGCAACCGAGATTGGAAGTATTTTTGGATTATTGGAAATCAGTGCCTAAACTGGGAACACGATCTCTGAACCCTAGAGCGCTTACGAGGCATATTAGTATTTCCCTTGTTTTGCTTAAAAACTATTTAAAAAAAAAAAAAACCCGCTCAATTGCATTTTTGACGCGAGTCTTTTTCACAGATGTTGCCATGAGTATGTTCCTTAATGCTTCCAAGATGCGAGAAAAAAAAGGCACGAGGCTTAGCCGAGTACGTCACTAATGTCATCTATATACGTATGTCTTCCAGAGAACCGATCAAAGTGCACGTATATATCAAATTACAGATGGTGTCAACTAACGTAAGGACATGATCGGTTATAATCTCCCCTGCGGCATTTCCTCGTTCCTAAACATTTTTCTCATTTTTCCCCCTGTCAGACTAACATCTCTTTCACAGTGATTCTATGCGGCCATGCGTTTGTTCAATAACTGATCCCGGATGCCGTCAAAATGTGGTGAGAACAAAAAGGTGGTATACGAGGCACAGCCACATTTTGATCTCTGATATATCATTGTGCAGACCCACGACAACATGTTTTTAATGGTGGCATCATCAATGCGTCCGTGTCCTAAAATAGATCATGACTAAGAGCCAATCATGACCTCGACTTCGGTCCATAAAAATGCAAAAAAAGAACTCGGCCAATATCCAACCTTCGTCTCGGTCCAAAACAATGTAAAAAAAGAAGTCGGCCATTATCCAGCCATCTTGACCTTACACTGGGTCAATAACGCATCTGCATTGAGTTTTTGGAAATGTCAACGTTGTCTCGGGCGGTTGCGTAATTCTGTTGCGTGACCTATACTACTGAGTAACCAGGCCTCTAAGCCCAAGGTGCACATTTTGTTCCGGTTTCAAAATGGCTGGGTGTTGCAAGAGTCTTACCTCAGTTCTCTTCGAATACGACACATCTAAAGTGGTTCACATTCAAAGTAAGACAATCGGAATCATCAACAGACTTATTCAACTCAGTATAATCTGCTACGTCATCATGTAAGTGACTTGAAGTAAAGCCGTTTTGAAGTTCAATCGTTTTTCAAGTGATACAGTATGGCACTTATTTACTCTTGGATATCATTTATTGTACATAATATTCATGTTTTAAAATGATTATCATTTTGAACCTTTCACGTAAATTCTGGTTTGTATGTGAGAGGAAAACTGGAAACTGATGGGTGAAACTGACCATGCAGTTGCGAGAAAAACTGCAGCTGTTGCACAATTTAAGTCCGGACCAACTGACTTTTTATGCAGTTGCATTATTAATCAAAATGGAGTCTCTTTAACAAACAGATTCCATGTTGCCGTGTGTCCATTCTGTTTTGGTAATAATGATAATAATAATGATAATGATACAATAAGGAGAAGAAGAAGAAGAAGAAGAAGAAGAAGGTTGACGATCGATGATAATGATAATAATGAATTATTATTTTACAAGAAGGTCCTGAAATACCATGTGGTTTTCAGGAGGGTCCTCTCAAATAAAACAGCAAATGAATCCTGGTATACAGCAAATAATTAAAAGATATGAATCATCAGGTTGAAAGGATGGAAAAGATTTACAAATTAGTAAGAAAAATTATGTAAATAAAAACGAGGGATAAAAGTTCTGGGGTTGTTTTATTTTTATTAAATTTGGCTTAAAATTGTTTTTGTCTATTACTTTTTAAAAAGATGTGCTTTCAATGTTTCAGCTACGTTATGATATACAAGAAAGGCTACCAAGACACACAGAAACCCTACAGTTCTATAACAACAAAAGTTAAGGGAGTATGGTCAACAAACTTGACACCTGTGGTGAATGAAAGTTTTCCATTATACGATGGAATTCATGTGTGGGATTCACCAGATTACATTGTTCCACCTGAGGTACAATTCAGTTGGGATTTTTTGTCTTCCGTGTTTTTCTAATTTCTTTTTTTCTTTTTTTTTTTTTTTTTACCGAAACTATTTTGTTATGTACAACATATTTTGTCAGCTTTTAACTCAAATTTATAGGAAAACAATGAAATTGAAATTCCAATTTTTTTGGATATATCAACAAAGTTGAAATGGTAAATTGGCCACCGTAATGATTACAAAAGCTGACGTTTCGAGCGTTAGCCCTTCGTCATTCGCTCCGACGAAGGGCTAACGCTCGAAACGTCAGCTTTTGTAATCATTACGGTGGCCAATTTACCATTTCAACTTTGTTGATATATCCAAATTATTTCGTTACTCCCACCGACGCAGCCCCAAACAGTTTCTTTCGAAATTATCAGCCTTTATCCAATTTTTTTGGCTGACATCTCACTAGAATTAGTTTGATCTTTTCATTAAATTTATATCAGCACTACGATAAGCGTACTTTATTTGGTGATCTTAGAAGCTTAACTCAGCCAGCCCAAAAAATGTGGCTGAAAAGTTTTTAAAACTTAAAATATTAGATGGTTGGGATACATGATATCCTCAGAGAATAAGAAATGCTATAGCCTAACAGCTAAATTTCCTTCATCACAACAAGCTGAAACAAAGGAAAATAAAAAGCAAGCTAGTTTGGAAGATTTTAAACCAAGAACACTTTTAACTTTTACAGGAAAATGGTGCTTTCTTTGTGATGACAAACATGATCATCACTCCAGATCAATCACAAGGTGCTTGTCCAGAAGATCCTGACCTTATGGATGTGAAATGTGATAATGACAGTGACTGTGAAGCTATGGAACCCATCCACTATGGACATGGTGAGTTGTTGCTATATTATCTCAGATTGCTGTGTTCCCTTTTTTTTTTCTATTTTTTTTCTTTTTATTTTAAGCTGGTAGAACAATCCTTTTATCCAACTGTTGATTTTTCAAGAATTTCAAATGATGTTAGGCCGTAATAAGACATACTTTAAGAAGAAAATGTTTACTGCTTACCACCTGAAAAGGAGGAAACTGAGATTGCAGATATTGCCAAGTTACAATGAATTGATTCCTTTTTCTTAATTCCCCCCTCTTTTGTGCAAAAGGTGGTAAGAATAATTGTTTTACTTTTACTGGCAATTAACCCAAATAAAATTAATGTGACAGATGGCATAATGAACTTTAAACACTACAATTAAAGGTCTCCTGTTGTATACTTTTATGCTTAAGTGCTCTAAGTTACTAAATAAATGTTGGACTGCTACGTCCAGTTATATAACAAGTAGCAGTCCAACATGCCCACTTCTGGTTATAAGTCAGAGTGGCTACTTTTGTTAATTGACAAATCCAGGAAGGATTTAAAAATTTAAAGAGTTTTGTTATTTTATCAGTGCAGCTTGAAGCTTTCATAGTAGGTTCATCATGAGGGAAACTTTACTTTAACTATTTTCTCAATGGCATGACTTTGATCAAAGTGTCTTTTCTATTAAATTTTCTGACAAAGTTGCCCCCTTCTTTGAAAGAAAAAGGTGCTCACAATACTTGGTTACATTGTGTTAGATGCACTTTCAACATTCTAATATGACCACTACTAAAAATTATAGTTAATTAACTTACTTACAGAGGAATGGATATGTAAATAGAGTGATTATTTACTTGTGTTTTTACCTTATCTACCTTATTAATTAGGAGTTCAGTATCTTATCAGTTGGCGACTCCCAAATTGTTCCATCACGTGAAGTTCAAAACTTAAGAACCTGGGTTGACTTGAAAATGAGTATGCTAAGTAATATATTAACAGAACTTGCTCATCCACTTTCTGTTATCTTTCTAATATACGTAGAATTAGGAAATATTTATGCTGTCCAGTCACCGAATCATTAGTTCATGCTAGCTAATACTGTCACGTTCTAAAGTCGATGGAAATGGATACACACAAATCTAATCTATACATCTGCCATGCTACTTTAATGATTCAATCCTCTCTCACATTACCTGCTTACCTAAATCATGTATGGCACACGAAGTGTATCTTACAAACACTTTATCCCTTCCTTTTTCATTTAAAGCCACTACGATCCTAAGCTGTCAACACCACAGAGAGTCGCTTAAAGCCTAGTACAATTGAAACTCATAAAACAGCTAGCCACAAAATCATTCATCCTCCTCTTATGAACAGTCAATGATGATATTAACTCACGACAAAGTTTCTGATAATGGCACTTAAGTCAAAACATAGTCCTTGATAATGACACTCAAGTCATAACAAAGTCTTTAAATCTTTCCAGCGGTTTTCTGACTCTAATCGGTCTCGTCACAACCGGGCTGCTCAGTTTTTCTCGCTCTGCTTCCGGTTCCACAGGATCAGTTACATCAAGCGTTGAAGTTGTTTCCCCCGGGTTCTGTGATGTCTCCTCGTACTTCTTTACATGGGTTATGTTTCGCATTAGTTGAATGCCGTCTGGTTATTCAATAACAACACTGTTTCCAGTCTTGGTGATAACATCGTAAGGCTCAGGAGCAAATGATGTTGATAATTTATTTTTACGCTCTTGTTTGACTAACACTTGATCACCTGGAGCTAGGTAAGACTCGTGGGCATTCCTCTTCTTGTCTGCATACCATTTGGTTTTGGCTTTCATTTTGCCATCTCTGTCTCGCATCTCGCTCTCTGTGCTCTCCTCTTTCAGTTCGGGGAATGTAGTACGCATCTCTCTGCCAAACAAGAGTTCCACTGGGCTCACACTTATGGTAGTGTGAGGGGTTGACCTATATGCTACCAAGTACTTGCACACTTCTGTCTTCCATTCTTTCCCCTCAGCTTGAGCTATTTTCATCCTCTTGAGGAGGGACCTGTTTTGTCTTTCCACTTCGCCATTCGCTTGTGGCCATAGTGGCATTGTCTTCCTGTGTTCTATACCATTATCCTCTAGATACTGTTCAAATACTTCAGATCTGAATTGTGGACCGTTGTCACCTCTGAGTGACTGAAGTAGTCCATGCATGGTGAAGATTTTCTCCAAACACTCTATGACTTTTTCTGACGTTGTGGAACGCATGACTTCTATTTCATAGTATCTGCTGAAGTAATCAATGATGACTAAGACAGATTCTCCTGAGGGTAATGGGCCTAACAGGTCAATGGCCAAATCTTGCCAGGGGCCACTTGGTAATGGTGTTGACTTGATTGGCTCTGGGTTTGCTGGGCTGCTTACAAGCTGACAGCCATAACAAGTTTTGCAAAACTTCTCGGCTTCCCTGTCGATTCCAGGCTACCAGACTTTTGATCGCAACCTCTGCTTCATACTGACAATTCCTGGGTGTCCTTCATGGGCAAGGTTCAATACTCAAGGTTTCAGCTTGCTCGGTATGACAATCCTAGTATCACGAAGGATCAGCTTGCCAGTAACACACAGTTTGCTACACACTGGTACGTACTGCTTATGCTGGTCACCTTTCCAGTTTCCATCTTTAATGTATTGATGCAGTTCCACAAACTCTCTTTCTTCTGATGAGGCTTCTTCAATTTCACGTGTTGTCATCGCTTGAGGAGTGGCGGGATCTGCGACGAACCTGACAAATTCATCCAACACCTTGTGCGCTGGTGATGGTTCTGCTTGTCCATTCGCATGTAACAAGCGTGACAATGGGTCAGCAATATTCTGCTCGCCAGGTAGGTATTTGACTTGGAATTTATATGGCTGTAATCGCAGGATCCATCTTTCGATTCGTGCACACGGTTTGGACCTGCTCGAGTAGATTGTTTCCAGCGGCTTATGATCAGTATACAGTGTGAATTCAATGCCGTACAAGTACACATGGAATCGTTCACATGCCCATACGACAGCTAAGGCTTCTTTTTCCGTTTGCGAATAACGCCTTTCCACCGCGCTTAAACTCTTACTTGCGTAGCTAATGACTCTTTTCCTTCCTTGCTGCTCTTGGATGAGGATCGCACCGAGGCCCACCGGGCTTGCATCTGCTATGATTAGTGTCTTGGCATCTTTATCGAAATAGCCAAGATTATCTGCATTTGATAGCCTCCTCTTAAGCTCATTGAATGCATTCTTCTGCTCTTCTCCAAATTCGAAACGAACACCCTTTTTGGTCAACTTTCGCAATGGCTCCGCGGTTGTAGCGAAGTCCGGAATGAAACGGGCATTGTAATTTGCCAGTCCCAGAAAGCTTCTGACTTCTGATGCGCTTTGCGGTTCTCTTGCATCAATGATCGCCTTTACCTTGTCTTCAGTAGGACCAATACCATTGTTGCTTAGCACCAGTCCCATGAAGACCATCTGGGTCATATGGAACTTACACTTCTCTGCATTCAGTGTGAGGTTCTTCTCTTTCAGCCTTTCCAAAACTCGCTGCAATCTTCTGTCATGTTCCTCAGTGTTCTTCCCATGAACGATGATGTCATCTGAGATGTTGGCAACACCTTCACAGCCTTGTAGTGATTGTTGGATGACGTGCTGGTATACTTCTGGAGCTGAACTTATCCCAAACATGAGACGCTTGTATTGGTAAAGACCACAATGTGTAGTGAACGTTGTGATGCTTCTGGAATCTGGATGGAGTTCTAACTGGTGGTAGCCCCATTTTAAATCCAGTTTACTGAACATTGTGCTCTGGTTGAGGCTTTGGAGCACTTCGTCCACTGTGGGTATGGTATAACGTTCTCTGATAATTGCTTCGTTAGCTCTGCGCATGTCTACACAAAGGCGTATTTCGTCATTCTGCTTTGGGACTACTACAACTGGACTAACCCACGGGGTTGGGCCCTCTACTGGTTCAATTATGTCCATGGCTATTAATTCTTCAATCTTCTCCTTAACCTTGTCTCGAAGACTAAATGGGGTGCACCTGACTGGTTGTGCCACTGGGGGTACATCTGGATTCACATACAACTTAACTTGGAAATCTTTCAACTTTCCCACACCCTCAAAGATCTCCTTGTAATCAGACATAATTGTCTCGCTACAAGTCACGGTGCAGATCTGGGTTCCTAATTTCAACACTCCAAGCTTTATGGCAGTTTCTCTTCCAAGCAGTGCCGCCCCTTCTCCATTAATAACAACAAATTCAGCTTCGGCCTCTTTTCCCTCTACTCTCGCTTGTGCTGAGAATGTTCCTAGAACGTTCAGCAGCTGTTTACTGCCATATGCATAAAGGCCTATTATATGGCCTCCTGAATTCCCATATCACGAAACTCCAACAGATACAGAATACTGCAGCTGGGTTGGTCATGGGAGCACCAAGATTCTGTCATGTTACACCATTACTTTTTCACCTTCACTGGCTCCCAATTAGTTACTGTATAAAGTTAAAGATTCTACTTTTGACATGGTCTAGCTCCTAATTATTTAATTGAGTTAATCAGTATCAAAAAGCAAACCAAGTGTTCTGTCAGGTCAAACAAGTCTTTGTAACTCCAGTTACCTAGTACTAAGACCCATCCAACCCTTGGTGATCATGCATTCCAGTCAGCTGCACCTTATCATTTGGAATGCATTACCTTCAACAATTCACAACATAAAACCACTGGACACTTTCAAGACTACTGTTGAAACCTAATTTTTTGAGTTAGCCTTCAAATAGATTTGTATTCATATCTTATCTTTTAACTATAGTTAATGACTAGGCTATTGCTGCATTTGATTGTATATGGGTTTGTAGTATTTAATACTTATGTTTTTAGTTGCTTTTAATATAATTTTACTTTCATTGACAGTATTGTGAAGTACAACTGAATATATCCATATAGAGGTCTGCACTATATAAATGTAATTATTATTATAAAACTTAGGATGAAAGTCACATTACCCTCAAAGTTACCATGCTGACACTCGATGCATCAGAAGCTCAAATAATCTTTCATTTTCTATTGTTCACTTGTCAGGGATCAAGACTGGGAGATGTGTAAAGGCAGACAGAGGTAATAAGACCCGCATGAAAGTGTGTGAGATCTATGCCTGGTGTCCCGTGGAAATAGATGAAATACCCATGCCCCATTTCAACCTCAGGTAAGCCACTGTGTCAGTCATATGATTAACATATTTTGTATAACAATTAAGTACCTCAGCTCTTTCTGAATGGAACTATAAGTGTCTACACTAGAAGATGTCCATCTTAATTAAGAAACCTAAGTTGTTAGAAAATGGCTTAAGAATGCAGATGGCACAGATCATCCCCAGAGAGTTTCATTGGGGTAGAAGTAAAGAATCTGATCACACCAACGTGTCAGCCAATGCGTCGGCCAACACACCAGCCGATTCACATATAGACACGCCACCAGCACACTGCCAATACACCACCAATGCATCTGGTATGTTATAAAGATAAACGGTGGCCACCTTGTTGGCCAACAATCAGCCAACAGTCAACTGACTGTGGGTCGACTGTTGACTGATGCATTGGCAGACACGTTAGCCAATGTGTTGATAGGATGGGATTCTTTACCTTTACCTTCATTGGAGCATTTTTTGATTCATTGTCAAAAGTCATCCAGGATTGTGTTGGTTTCACCTAACCTATGGTCTATGATTGGTCCTGAAAATCTGTGTCATTCTCTGATTATCAATCAAATCCAATAATAAAATCATTAGTACCATGGTCACTATCGTTTTCAAAAAATGTTGACGATTTGTTTTGTTTTTGCTCAGAGTTCTTATTGGCTTGTCCCTATAATGTTGTCCTTCATTCTGATTGGCTGTTCTTTGGTTTTGGTTTTGCAACACCCAATTGAAAGCACTCTGTGAAGATGGCTATTTTAGACATGAACCCATTTACTCCCAAGATCTCAATATCAACTGTTCATACTATCTGCCATATATTTTGTTTGAATTAACCGCTTTTGATAAAATCAAGTGATGAACATACCCCCAGTTTGATATTTTTCTTTTTTCTTGTCATATTTCTGCCTGAACATTGTAGTGTTATTGTTATTAAGAAGGAATTCCTAACAACTCTGGTTACTATCCAAAATGTCACGGTCAAGCCAGCCTAGTTGGATCATTTTGTTGTGTTTTTGGGAGAGATGCATTTCTCTCATCAATTGGACATGCTTCTATAGTCACCTAAGAGAACAACTTGGCACCACCAACTGGCCGGGAAACTACTTGAGGTTTCTTTCAGATGAAGATCTTATTTTGTGTAAGATATAGTGGGCCTAAGATTGAGGGCACTGAAAAATGTTTAGTCTTTAGGTGATTTTTTTCTTTTCTGCCCTTTCATTATAAGCTGTGTATTTTTTCACTTTTTGTCTTCATAGTTATGGAGTTCCACTTTTGGAGACAGAGAACTTCACAGTTTTGATAAAAAATACTGTTCAGTTTCCAAAGTTTAAGCAGTCAAAGTAAGTGCAGTTGAGCCATTTTTTAACAAGAATTTTGTGACCAATTTCGCTTATCCACTTCACCCTTGTTAAATGTTTGTCACACGTTTCTGAATGGATCAATCACAGTATATATTTTGGTTCTGTTCTTTTTATCCTACAGGCGGAACATCCCATCTGATCGTAATTCATCCTATCTTAAGATGTGCATTTATGATCCAGATAAGGAACCTCATTGCCCCATCATCAAACTAGGAACCATTGTGAAACAAGCAGGAGAAGACTACAAGAATCTAGCTTATAAGGTAAATTTATTCTGGATCATCATAATTTTCATACTGATAAGCTAAATAAAGGGCTCTAATCTCCTTTCTCAAGCCTTCCTGTCTTTGACTGCTTCTCATGTATGTAACCTCACTCTTCTCCTCTCTGCATATATTCTCTGTATTTAGGTTGTTCCAGGCACACAAAAATCACCACAGTGTCCAATTTAAGACACTTGTGTTTGATTTTGGAAACTATTGTCCAACTTTAGACATAAGTGTGGGATTTTATACACTGGCATCTGATTTTGGACAACAGTGTCTGCTTTTAAACAGTAGTGTCCAATTTTGCAAATTTATGAGCATTTGATTTTAGACTCCGGTGTCCAATTTTGGACATTACTGTCTGATTTTAGATAGCAGTGTTTAATTTTAGATGCAAGTGTTCAATTTTGAACACTGGTATCTGATTTTGGATAATAGTGTCTGATTTTAAATACTTATGTCCAATTTTACGAACAAGCATTTGATTTTAGACTCCAGTCTCTAATTTTAGACATAAGTGTCTGATTTTAGACACAAGTGTTCAATTTTAGACATTATTCAGTTTTCAATTTTTGCACTATTGTTAGAGTTTATACACTAGTGTCTGATTTTAGACATTGGTGTCCAATTTTTTCTCTTGTTTCGCATTTCAGACACTAGTGTCCAGTTTTAGACACCAATGTCTGATTTTAGACACTATAGTATCCTAGTTTAGACACCAATGTCCAATTAAAACACTAGTGTCAGATTTTTTACGTTAGTGTTCAATTTGCAAACAAGTGTCCAATTTTAAACACTGGCGTCTGATTGTCCGATTTTAGACACTTGTGTCTAGTTTTAAACTAGACATTATCTGATTTTAGACATCTGAGTCTGAATTTAGACTCTAGTGTTCAATTTAAGCACTAGTGTCTGATTTTGGACACTTTTGTCTGCCCTAAGATACTAGTGTCTGATTTCAGATACTAGCATCTGATTTTCCACACTTGTGTCCAGTTTTGGACTAAGAATTGGTTTTGGACACTAGAGTCTGAGTTAGACACTAGTGTCTGATTTTAGACACTTTTGTCTGCCTTTGGACACTTTTGTCTGCCTTTGGACACTAGTGGCTGATTTCCAATACTAGTGTCTGATTTTGACACTTGTGTCCAGTTTTGGTCATAAGAGTCCAGTTTTGGACACTACTGTCTGCCCAAAATAGGAAAGCTTTTTTCTGTTTTTTCCTTATTACATGTGAATAGACACTTTCGACCAACTGTTGACAGTAGTGTCTGATTTCTGACACTTGTGTCCAATTTTAGCCATGAAGTTGAATGTAGTTTAAATTCTTCTCTCCTCTTTCAGGGTGGTGTTATGGGCATTATTATCAACTGGGACTGTAACTTTGATTCTTTAAGTTATTCTTGTGAGCCAAAATATTCCTTTCGACGGTAGGCGAGACATTCTTTTGGATGATGCTTCATACATTTGATAAAATTTGGTTTCATCAGATCACATATATGTATTAATATATTTTTCAGTTGACATGTTGAGTAACCCTTTTGTCCTCTCTTTAAGTCCTCACCGTGGATGTGTCAACAACTGCTGTGGCTTGCAACACGTATATTCATACACCATAAGCTTATAATTGTACATGCACCACGCAAGGGCTCTGTTGCGTCATTATTTACTTTTTTATTTTGCTAGACTAGATGATGCTAAAGCACCAATTGCACCGGGATATAACTTCAGGTAATGTCAAGAAGATTTTTATTACTTTTGGACCGTTGGATAATTGACACAATAACGCTGGGAAACCATCAATCGTATAATCAACAACTTTATTTGAAGGAATTCTTTGATCTGAAACATACAATTATGCAATGTAATTATGAAACATTCGGGTATTTACAACACCGTGGACAATAAACCGATAGTACAAGCGAAACTAATTGAGACTTACTTCTGTCGCCAGTTTCCCGTTAACATCATTTATCATTCTGGGTAACTCTTTAAAACTGCTTAGCAAATACCTGTTAGAACTGAACTGAAACTTAATAAACTTGATATATGATCGATTAAAAGTGTCAATTAAATTGTTTGTGATCAGTGTCTATCATTGATAATATTTTGTCACCGTAACAATTCTACTGTCCTCCCTGAAATTATGAGTTGAAATAATTTGTGGTGAACGGCGGGTTCCTGGACATAAATATTTAGAAGGGGGTCCTACTCTACTCTGTTACTACAATTTGGCAGGCATGGCAAGTTCTCTGTTATCAATGTCGTGTTTTCTTTCAATGGAGCTAAGTCACTGTTAACTGATGCTCTCCTGGACCCCTTTAATCCCTTTGGTAAACTCCTCCACGGTTCAATTATTAGTAAAAAAGAAAAGAGCTATCAGCCACTTATTATGAAATTAGTAATATGCAATGGACTCAGTGGCATCAGGCAAAAAGTCTGTCTCCCAAACGACACATCAACTATTCTTTCCAAACCAGGTTTGCTAGATACTATGAGAAAGATGGAAAACTACACAGGACCTTGTTCAAAGCATACGGTATCCGCTATGTAGTATTGGTCTATGGTCAGGTAAGTTACCGCATGTATGTGATGAATATACCAACCTTTTGTTTTTGCACTTTGCATCCATACATACCGTATTTACCCGCGTATAGGCCACACCCGCGTATAGGCCGCACTATGAACTATTGACCTGATCTCAGGGAAAAAAATTTTTCCAGTAACAAAGCACAATCAAGCCATAAAGTTGAGAAAACTCTTTCTTTTTTTCATTTCTCATTCGACAACAAAACAACATGTCTAATAAAGAAAACCGTCTTCTTGAGTGGAAACGTTCACAGAAAATATTTACATGCCTCCATCTTCGTACGTTCTTCTCGTCGACTCCATATTGGCGTGCAGCTTTTCGGTTTCCCTTCTCTAAAGCGCAAGTAATGACAGCGAGTTTAAAACGTGATGAATATGATACTCTCGTTGATCCTTTCGGCTTCATGATTTCTTAGAAAATGAGATTGATTTGCCTGTTTTCATTCTTTGACAGCGTGCAACATGCGGGTCACCATGGTTACGTACTGGGCTAGTTATATTGATAGATAGATAGATAGATAAATTTATTTCAATTCGAGATATACAATGAACCAGCGACTCGTACTAAATACATTTGAATATATAAAATTCTACGTCTACAGTTAACCAAAAGCATACAGATACTATATATTAATATAAATTACTTCAGATAATATACTTCCTAAAAAAGAATACATAATATGGTAACATGGTTTCCAGTGACTCGTAAAGTATTATTACTTGTGATAAATATACTAAAAATAAATGCTTAACATGACGAACTGGTGATGTATAACAGCATAGTGGTAAAAATGCGAGAAATAAATACCAATGTAAAAAAAGAAAAAAACAAAAAAAATAAAAAAAAGGTCGGTAGAATAATTAGGTAATGAAATAAACTAGGATAGTTAGGTAATAAAATAAACTAAGATATATAAAGAACGGTAGAGCTAACTTTATTGTTCACATATGTTACATTTGCACAATGTGCCACTAGTAAGATTGGTTTTCGTGATAGCTTTTTTAAATTTGTTTATGGAGTCAAGTTGCCTGAGTTTAGTAGGGAGATTGTTCCACATACGAGTAACCAGATAGGTAAATGATTTGTGAGTCCATTTACTGTTCGATATTGGCTGGGCTAGTCTGAGGTTGCCCCCTCTTAAATTATAGCGGCTTAGAAGGACTTGAAAGTGGTCTCTTATGTACTTAGGACCTCGCTCAGAAACTAAGGCTTGATAAGCCAGAGACAAGGAGTGGCATAAGCGTCGGTGTTCAAGAGTCTGAAGGTTGGCTGTTTTTAAGGCATCTTTACATGCACTATCGTGGGGTAGTTTGAAGATAGATCTGAGACCAAAACTATTGGCTTTCTCAAGCTTATCGCGAAGTCCATTAGTAATTCCAAGTAATAACGGGCTGCAATATTCAAAATGCGGTAAGATGAAGGCCTTGTAAAGCTTTGCCGCGGTTTCAATGGAGATCACATTCTTTATTTGTTGGATAGCTGAAAGTTTAGCATACACTTTGTTAAGAGTGTTCTTGATATGAAGATTCATCGACAAGGTACTGTCAATAGTGACGCCAAGTAGTTCCAAGCATTCTTTCTGTCCAATGGCTTCGTTCTGGAGCATAAAAGTAGGAAAGGTGTCACAGTTACCAAGGATAATAGCCTTAGTTTTCGTAGAATTAGCTGTCAGGTAGCTTAGCGTAAGACAGTGTGAAATTGAGACGAGATCTTTCTTGATCTTAATTTCCAGGAGGTTGGGAGATGAGTTGCTAACGTACAAGGTAATATCGTCAGCATATAGTTTGAGGGATGAGTTATCACAGAAAAACTGAGTTCATGTCATTAATAAAGATGTTGAAAAAAAGAGGGCCCAACAGGCTCCCTTGCAGGACCCCTCTTTTAACAGTTCGCCGGTTGGAAAAGTTTCCATTTAGCTTTACTCTTTGGAGACGACAGTCTAGATAAGAGTTCATAAGTTTAACAGAGTTGTAACCCAGGCTATACGCACGCAACTCGGCAGTAAGTAATCTATGGCACATAGCATCAAAGGCTCTGCTGAGATCGATGATAATAGCAGCCACACATTGTTTTTGATCAAGGGAAGGGCGCCAATTCTCAGTCGTTTTAACAAGTGCTGTGCTGCAGGAATGACCGTTTAGAAATCCAGAAAGCGAGTCACAAAGCTTGACTTAAATCCACTCATACAACTGGTCGTAGACGACACGTTCGGCGATCTTTGGTATTGCAGGCAATAAAGATATTGGTCGATAGTTGGCCTTATCACTTCTGTCATCCTTCTTAAAAACAGGGACAACATTTGAGCGCTTCCACACAGAAGGCCAACAGCCATTAGTAATAATCCTGTTAATGAGGGTAGTGAGAGATTTGGTGATTGCTGAAGAAGAAATCTTGAGAATTCTAGGAGATAGACCATTGGGACCAGTGGACTTTCTGGAATCAAATGCTGCTAACAGTTTTATTGAAAAAAAATTAGCCCCCCTTCTATGCAAAGCGAATAGAGCAAATGTTACCGAGAATATCGCTTGCGCGTTGTTTGTGACTCAAGGATTCAGCTGTTGTACGGGCCAAAAGTAACCAGAAAATGGGTGGAACTACTTGCAACTATGAAATGAAAAGCGAAATACGAGGATATCGTGTTTATGGAAACACCAGGAAACCCTCAATTTATGAGACCGATCTAACTGGAAATAAACTCGTGGGACACCTGCCGGCAGAATTCAGCCGTATTGCTTGTTATTTTATTAATAACGGTGACTGGAAAGAGGGTTCACTCACAAGGTCCTCGAGGAGGAATGGCTATTCCATGCAAATTACAGTGGACGTCTTCAAATAAGAAACGTGTTCGCAAGCTGGATAAACTTATTACAGCCGAGAGAAGCAAAATTCTTGGAAGATATGGGCTAATTTAACGTAAGCTCGTACAATTCATTGAATAAAATTGTGAATAACTAAGGAAGTTTGTTGATAATTGTGTTAGGAAGGTTTGCATATTAATGAGCTCTGAACTCTTGTACCCGCGTATAGGCCGCACTGCAAACTTTCAAGGTGGTTTTTCGTCAAAAAAGTGCGGCCTATATGTGGGTAAATACGGTACTTGTTTCCCTCCACTTGAAACTAGCTGTTTTTTTGTATTATTCAGTGATTGTGATATGACTGCAATTATAATATAACCAAAGTAAAGTGCGCACTCTGATTGGTCAATTCAGTGTCTACCATTTGCCCATGGGTGTGTGCTGCTGACATGAGCAAATGGAAAGACTAGTTTTCGCGCACTTGTTTTTTCTGGCCACGTAAGGTTTGTTAAATAAAAGGGAATTATTTTACTATAACCTATCAATGTTATGTTATAAAACAAATGGTATCGCCTCGAGCGACTCTTACGCTTCTTTCATGCTTAGCAACCTTCCGCGAGCATCCATAACTCAATAGTGCACGCTGTGGTGTTTACCATTTGTCAATAATAACTATTTGTTAATAATAACTTTCTTGTGTTCTGATTTGAGTAAGTACTTAGAAAATCAAAATGACTTTTGTTTCTTCCAGGGTGGTCAGTTCAGCGTTGTCCCTTTGTTTCTGAATTTGGGTTCTGGTCTTGCCCTTCTGGGAATTGTAAGTTGACAGGCTTGGGTAACTCTGTGGTTGTCAGAAGTTCAAAATTTTATTATTATCAATATTATTGTTTCCATTGACTTAAAATAGCCGCACAGTTTGAAGCAGGGAGGAGTTATGAATAAGATCTGGATGATAAACAGATATCTCTATGGGATCTTTGTGACTGCGATTTCTTTGTAGTAGTTCATATGATTTCATAGTGACTGGTTTTTCTTACACCCGTAGCTGAAATAATCAATAATGGAGGTTTATTGACGAGGACACTTCATGATGTGATATATAAATGATAAATGTTGCTAACGGATGGTGTATTGTGACTGTATCCTGTAATAACCCATTTTGCTTAATCACTGTTCCTTTGTTTTTAGGCGACAGTGTTGTGTGACATTGTTATTCTGTACTTTGTGAAATCGAAGTCATACTACAGGTCGAAAAAGTACCAAGTTGTGAATGATCCGGATGAGGATGGAGAGGTAAATAAGAAAATCTCTCTTATTAAAATGCCTGAAGCATTCATCAGTTTTGACCATTTTGCATGCGATTTTCGGTTTTGATCAATTTTTTTTTTCTGTTTAGTGGTTTTGGATCAATTTCTTCTACAGTTTTTCGGTTTCTAATAAACCCTCAAGCCCTCCTCTTAGATTAGTTTTTTATCTGATTGGTTCAGAGGGTGCCAACAGCTTAACCAATCACATTGTAGCACAGCCCATCAGAGAAAGGTTTATGATGTTGACAATGTGTTCGATCTTGCAAAGATTACTTTGCTTTCTACTAGAGATTGTGAATTGTGGTTAATGTCTTTCACTTGCTCTATTTTGCAGAGTGGATATTCGATTTTTTCTGAGGAAAGGAAATAAAGAGGAAAATGCACTAGGATATTTTGATTATGGACAAATTAATATTTTACAACAAGGCAGCTTGAACTTATCTCTAGATCCAGCTTCAGCCTCGTTAACTCCACGAGTTCAATTAAAATGGATCAATATGATTCTCCTTCCTAAGTGGGGGCAGATATAGAATTGCTTTGGAGGGGAAGGGAGGGAGGGAGGGAGGGGAGTCCAAAGTTTGATACTTCCCTTGAACTTAGTGAAGTGGGTTTCGCACTAATTTCACACCAATGCTTATTTTCATTGAGGAAAAAAAGCAAGCAGAGTAGTAACCTACAATCCTGTGGTTGGAGGTATTTTGGTGTCAAACAGGTTGTACCCCCCCCCCTCCCGTTCCCTCTCTCTGGATCTACCACTGCTTGGTGGGCAATGTTTAATTGATAATGGTGCCTTACCCCCTTCATTTTTCTTAATTTTTTTTTTCACAAAGGTTAATTTGAACATATGAAACTGAACGTTTAGGCCCAGGCCACTTAGATAATTCTCAACGGTTAAGGTAGCAAAGCCCATATGATATATTTTAACAGGGGCACAACACCTTATAAGTAACGAAAACAGGATAATTTTAGGGTCTTAGTTTTGAATTTTTCAGACGGCTCTCTTAGTGTCGAAAAGAGAGTGTGAATGACGTTTTCAGAGAGCCCATGAAGGCTCTTAGTTCCTTTAAAATATTTATTCAACAAGTTATGAAAATACATCTCTTCGCTATGGGTTCGTCAAATTTAGCATGAGGGATTAGGAAATAAGGATCCTTACTTTGCCCGAGGCTTGCATTTTCAAGAAACAACAAAACAAAGCACAGGGAAAAAAATAACATTACAGCGTACTTTTTGTAATTTCCAATTTTGTGGCAATATGGCTAAAAAGAAGTACAACTACCGCAGTCAAATAAGTGCGTAATCATTAAATGAAATGAATACAGACTATTAGAGAGAACGTAAAATAAAGTTTTACCAGAAATGACTAAAATGGTGTGCCGCTTGGTGATAAACTGGCTTCAAGACCCCCGTGGAACTTTATCTTCCTCATTGTTATGAGTTCCTGAAAATTTCTACTCTCTGTTTTTGTGTACTGGAGGTACAAGGTACAGGTACTAGAGCGCTGGACTGTTGTACGGGAGGTCGAGGGTTCAAGCCCCGGCCGGACTAACACTCAAGGTCTTAAAATAATTGAGAAGAATAAGCTGCCTTTCTATAACATCAAGAAATGGTTAGATATTCTAGTCTTCTCGGATAGGGACGAATAAATGGAGGTCCGTCTCCTCCACTACAGGGTTAGGGGTAGGAGACGTGAATTTCCCACGCACGAGATTACTGTGTGATGGATGTCCTCTCTTGGGATGGGATGGGTAGGATTTATTGGGTGGACTACTGGCATGGTTCGCATATGTTCCATTCTAGTCCTACCATACTGCGGCAATGCAGTGAAAAATGGTTAGGGGGTGCTTTTTCAAAGGAGCTTTCTGCCTAGAGGAAAATCAATCAACTAAAAAAATATGTCAACATAAAAGGATTCCCATTCCACCTCGGAAGCCCCATTGAATAAGATAGATAACAGCAGGCTGGAGGAATTAATAATTTAAGGTAGAAAATCACAGAATTAGTATTCAATTGGAAGATGTCTCCAAAAATTTTCTTAAGCCGTGTACAAGGGTAAACTCCAGTCGAAGATCCTATGTGCCAGCTCAGACGAGTGAAAAGAATGACAAACACACCCACAACAACAGTACAGTTTCTCGTGTTCAAAATAACGTTGGTTTTGAAACCTGTCAATGATTGTAAAGAGTAAACGCTTCATAAAAAGGGGTTGCCCCGTTTTCTGTAGCAAATTTAATAGGAAATGCTGATTCTTTCATTATCCCAAGAAATCCAGGATGGACTGCGGACCGATCTGAATTGCAAATTTTCTCTTCGTTATTCAGTATTCATGAGTTTCTCTCACCTACACGTGCTACTAAGATGTTAATCGGGTGTGGAAGGTTCTGTGGCCGTTTAGGTCTCCTAACTTGATTTACAAGCTTCGAAATGGATGAAAACTTTGAAAACGTTGCTGAAGACACGAAGGTTTCCACAATGGCTATGCGAGAGGATACCAAAGGTGGCTTCGGCGAAAGGTCTCATATACTACAGCGACATTGTAACACGATGCAGCACAAGATGGAAACCAAAATGGCGGACTCGGGATTCTTTGCTTTTTAAGGTGACTAGGAGCCTTTTCTTCAGTTTATTGTGATACAGTGAGTTTGACAATGGTTTTCCATGTAAATTGAAACTAATGTTTCGTGTTTCTTTGCAAAAATTCCCCGGTAGTGTAAACGAGGAAAGGAAACACGGAATATGGAAATCAAAGAGAGCTTCTGAAAATGGTGAGTGAAAATGTTCAATCCTTAAGAAGGTCTATGGGTCTGTGTTGCTGTTGCAGGCCTCTTATTCATGTAGCTAAAACAGCAATAATCAAATGCAGAGATATCAGTGGAAGATTGCTAAAGGTGATTTTTTCTTTTTTTAATCAATCCCTTCCTCTGATAACCTTCTCTGCTCAGCTAAGTTTCGTAACGGTTTCCAGATATTTCAATTCAAACTAGATGCACCTTGAGAAATTCTTCATCAAAATTATTTGAGGTCGTTCTATCATAGGTGTAATCCTGTTTCTTATACTTCGGGAATTTTTTTAAATTTCAATTTCGGAGAGGAAACAATGACTGATTGCAATGTGTCACTAAAGCAATTTTGTTTTCTCGTCAAATGTGCTCAGAAAATCAGCGATGATTTATACCTTCTGCGTTTGATCTTTTATTTGACCGATACCCCCACAGAATAAGATAAACTTGGGCAGCTTTTATACTTAAGAGCTGTGCTTTGTACTTTGACTAGTGGACTTAATTTTCGACTTCTCCTATTCAATCTATTGATGACCTCGATACTTTAAAGCTCAAGCTTGGCTGAGCCGATTCAATAACTGTTTTCCTGACACATATCAGGCGATCCCACCGTATTTCTTAATTAGAATTCTTAGTCTACACGTGGAGGGGGATTTTCACCTGCTACATTTGAATGGACTTCCTCTCCTCTTTGCTGAATACTGATGATAGATAAAACTTATCTTCATGATGTACGATTATCTATTCAAAATGAAGATCGTTTCAGCGAACATAGACAGTCTCGATTATCAGCATATATAGGTATTGGAAGTCTGCGTTTGGATTTTTCCGTATAACAGTGCTCGTTACATCAAAGTAGTGCGCAATATATGTTGAGTTAGAAAAATACAACGACAACGCTTTCATCCCTAGAAGCCTGTTTCGTGATTGCTCATTCATGAGTATAGATTGGATGTCCATAGGAGACTAGCTCTTTACGGTGTAAACGTTTGTGATCTGAACGTCTACTAAATTCGCTAAGATTCAAGGGAATATTCAACCGTAATTTCTTTTACTATTATCACAACGATCACAGCTAAGAATTGTATCATTTCTGTTCTTTGGCAGGTGGGTCTAACCAGCTGTTTTTTTATTTTCTTCCCTTGTAGGATTCTGTGCATAGATCGATCGATTATCACATTCAATCACATCTGACAAATGGACATAGGACTGGACTGAAAGCAAAGCAGGTCAAGGGAAAAATGAATAAGTGGACTGAAATCAAGCAGAAGAATGGACAAGAAACTGAATTGAAATGGAAATGGACAAGAAACTGGAATGAAATTGAAATGGAAATGGACAAGAAAGTGGAATGAAATTGAAACCGAAACTGACGAGAAACTGGATTGAAATCAAGCGTACATATTTCAAAGGTAGAATCTTGAATTAGGTGTACAATAAAAGGATGCGAAGGTGCACTTTAAACACAATTATTATGTCTAGTTACAAACCAATTTTAATATACTTTGGGACGAAAATTTTCGACGAGTTTCAAGTTTAGTTTGATTCGTTTTCAAAATTGTTAACCTCTCAGAGGGGATTTTGTTTCAATCTAGCCTTTTTTTCATCTACCGGACGTATCTGAAATGAAATAGGGTTCTAAACCAATCTTAGTGACGACTTGCCCCATTCCGTTTAACCACTATGAGACGAAGAAATTATGAAAATAAACGAGTCGAACCGAACCGATTAAAACTGAGAGGTTGTCTGTAAGAACAACCGGGTTTTCAAAGACGAGTTTACGATAGGTGATGTGAATTGTCTGCCTTTGTACTTTAAATTAAGGACATTTTTCAAAAGGATTGAACAACTTTGCTTAATCAAATGTAAGCTTTTATATATAAATTTTCCACATGAATCGACAGATTTTTGTTCGTAAGGTCCCGATGACTAATGCAAATTGTCCTCCTTGGTCGTAAAAATGAAGGAATGTTTCCAAGTAAAATTGCTTGTGGCGGGTATATTTAGTATCGTATAAACGAATCAATTTGATACACAATTCGTAACTCATAAAAAACACATTTCATTTATTTTATTCAAAAAGCAAGTAGAAGGCTTTAATGTGCACCTTCGCCTTTTTCAAGGTAATTTTCTAAATCATCAATACCATTTCTATTAAGAAAAACAATCGTCAAATTATAATGTAGAGTCAAAGTTTCAGCTCTTCACTCCGTTAGCGACTTTCGTAATAATTTAGATCAAATATTTGTTTTGAAACCTCGCGAGTTAATTTTTTTTGTCATATTTTTGCCTTCTCAAACCCTGATCAAGATTTTCAAATTTCCCGCCAAAAAAACTTGGAAAATACGCCTGCGCCAGTTTTTAATTTTTCGAAACTCTGTAAGTAACAGCTGTTCAAAATGGCGTAGTTTTCCCGCCATAAAACTTAGAAATATAACAGGCGCCTAAAGTACGCATGCGCCGTTTTTGTTTTAGAAGATGTAAATAAAGTCATTTCTTACTTGTCTTCTCTCTTTCTTGTTTAATCTAAGTCAATAAACATTGCAATGTTCGCTTTTATTTCTCATCTTTATTTTCAGTCAATAAATAACAACAAGTATCTTTCAATTATTCTTTAATTAGTCAAGTGAATATTGCCATTAAATAATCAAAAAAAAGTGTCAAATATATACTAAGACTTTTGGCGGGAAAAATTGGAGCAATTTGCCCAGAGTTTACCCTGACAACGTTTTCGACAAAAAATTCAAAATGTCTTCCCTTGAAATTTTCCCCCAAAAGATGAACAAACGGAACCTTGTACAAACTTTTAACGTAAAATTGTTTTCCAAATTCAAATTATACTCGGACGTGAACTATTGGACAATTTCGGATTTTTTTCTTATTTTGGTTGTAAAGTCTTGTACCAGATTTTGTTTGCAATTTTTCGACCACTTTCATCAAGGTACAAACAAATCGCAAAATACAGTTTCTTTTCTTAGATTTGTTTCCCCTATGGAAATATCTACATCAAATTGTTGATGAAAATTTAGTTATTGTCTTCTTAAGATATAATTTTGACATTGCAGCCGAAATTATTGTACTCTTAGAAGTGAATTTTTATAGAAATCATACAAACTCTCTATTTAACAACGTTTATACCACGAAGAAAATGACGAAAATATCCTCAACTATCACACTTAATCTTGAGTAACAAGGCAAGCCAGAAAATTTGGCTGAAAAAAAAAAAAAAAAACACCGATGTTGTTTCAAAGTTAAATCCTTCCTTTTTGTAAAAAATCAAAACCTACTAAAGAGACTGGTCTTATTGGAATTTTCAAATATCAACTTAATTTTCAATGACGATGCCTTGCCATGTTACTCAAGATTTTACCCACACACTGGAAGTAAAGAGGTGAAACCTTTCTACTTTAGATCATATTCTCTTAGCTTGGTAAAAAATCGAGACAATTCATTCATTCATGTTGGAATTTTTTATTTCGAGCCGAGATAATTTAAATTGCTTTAACATCCCTGTTGGCAATATCACGATTGTCAATGGTTGCCAATTGTAAAGTTTTTTTTTTTGCCACGTTAAAATGACTTGCATCATCTCTAGGCGAAACTCAATTGCTTTAAATCGGTGGAATGTCGATACAATTCGTCCGTCTATGTCAGGAATGTTTTTTGGTCAAAAATCCTGAAGGCATGATCATTTTTTCTCGTTTTAATTTGAAAGAAAGTCAAGACAATTCGTGTTTGTACATACAATTTTTGGTCAAGTCGAGAGAATTTACCACATGAAAATCCCCGAGAGATTTTTATCCATAGTGAGTGATTAGCAAGTTATATTTTTGCTTCAAAAACTGATGTCTCGCGACACTTCGTCCAAAATTAGATGCTGTAATTTTCATTGGTTACCAACCTTAGAATCTATCTTTTCATATTTTTCGTCAATAGTATGTCTCGCCTCTTTCTCCTCCGGTGTATAAGAAAATTAATTACCCAAACTTTAAATGAATAGGCAAAGTTCTCAAAAAATCAATTGCTGGCTCTTGCACGTTTTTTTGCGGCACTAAGACTTTAAAACTTTAGCTCATTTTTCTTGTGTAAATGTTTGAAATGTCAATTATCACGTTCGGTTTGTTATTAGTTGTTTCCTGGCTTCATTATGCGCATGCACTTTTTCTTGAACGTACTTGTCGTTCCTCGTCGTGGAGTTGCGTAACCTTTTTTGTTAATTGGGGCAATCAACCAGGCCTTTGTTTCAGGTTCGAATTAGCATTGTAAAGTTTTGCACAAGCTCAATTTAATCAGTTGACTGTTTCTAAAGGAAGAGAAAACTTGATGATGGTTCAAGCCGAGTGGAAAATTCAAATTGATTTAAAAATGAAACACAAGTTTTTCCTTTCTTTTTGTCAAATGGCAGGAATTCTGTTTCGTTAGGGATCCAATCAAATCAAAATATTTAAAGCAAAATAAATTTCATATCAGTGCCCACCCAACTATAATTACCGCCAATATCATTCGCACGTTGATCATGTTTCTGTGTTAAATCTTTTGTACTTTCAACAAAGAAGACACAAAGTCAGCCAATTTTCAAAGCCCTATTATCAAACCAGGATACCTCAGCTTTTCAAGCAGGTGACAATAAAAAATGCAGTTTATACATAAAGCTTTGTTTGCCTAAATCACTTTTGTACCTTAATCTCGCAGAAAATTTATTGCACCAGCAACTGCTTTTTTGAGAACTAAGATTGCAAATATCTACTAATACGATCATCTAAATCAAGTGGCACTCTTACTGAAAATAGTCACAAATAGATCGTTTCCACGTTACGTCATGGCCGCCATGTTGGTAGACGTAAACAATAGATATCTCATTAGCTTCTTTTGTTCGTCCACCAGCCTTTGTTCCTTTCACTATTGTTACCTGTGTCTCTAGAGATTGTTTGCAAACCCCCTAAGGAGGAAAATTGCGGTCCTAATTTTCGATCAAAGATAAATCAAACTTACTGGAGACATGATGTTTCTCATGGTCAATCTGTCGTATTCGATTGTAAATAACTTGGATTGCAGTGCCACTTGCTATGAGGACCCGAATATCGCCATAAAAACCGATTTAAATGGTGGGTTTTACATCTTCGAAGTGGAATTGCAATTTTAGTAACCATGATAACAAGTGCCCGACATTTTTAAAGAAAATTTTAAGAATAGCCTCTCGCCAAGTGTCCTTGTCTAATACGGGCAAAAAAAAAAAAAAAGGATTTTGTAGTAGTTTATATTTGAAGCTCTAATCAATCTTTGTTATTTATTTTTTAGCAAAATTGTTTTCATCTCAAGGTCTAAATACTTCTCTTTTCGATTACTGGGCAATTTTGGCAAAATTGTCGTTCCATCACCTCCGTATTTTGCATGCTATCTTGATGTTCAAGCCACCATTTTGTCGGAATATTTTAGCGCTTTAGATAAACTACATTCTTATCTTTACCACGTTCCTCCAGTGCTTGACAATCCATTGATTTTTGCTTCCGAATTCTACCTGTTCTCCTTGTTCAACTTGCTGTTTTCACTGCGGTTTACGTCTAAATATTGAACATAAAAAAGACATTGAGCATCATGGTAAAGAAGCCTTAAAACTCCTACTTAACTTTACTTCTATATTGGTTTACTGATTTGGGCTTAAAAAGTGACTTTCTGAGGAATAAAACATTAGAAAAGATGAAAGAAATTCCTTGTTTATTGCTGCCATGTTTTATCGCACAAGTGTGATGTCACAGTAATCACAGAACATTGAACGACTTGTGAACGCTGAACTCAAGTTGTGATTGAACTGAGAATGTTTAAAGTTTGTTCATGACAAAAGTAAAACTGAAAAAGCCGGTTGTTAAAGCACATTTTCCCAAGTCTTTCTATTGCTTTCCGATAAGCTTGAAAAGTTTCTTGAGGCGAAATCCCAAACGCACGTGGCAACCCTTAAATTCGTACTTCACTTTACTAGTTTCCCTAAAGTTTAGCGTAAAATTCCTATATGCAATTTAGTACTCACCGTTCACTAAATTTCCTGAAGTTCTGAGAGGTACTTTGGCCCTTTCTTACATCCTTTTGGACAGAGGGACATCAGAGACGAACAGCCTGGCCAGACATCCTTACGTGGACATCAACACTTTGAAATGAGGTGTAATCGAAATATTTCATGAATATGGATCAAAACGTGCAGCCAATTGGTACCGAATACGTAATAGTTTTTGGGTGCGGTTTGGTTTATTTTGCACTCGCTTTTTAAGAGATTGTTGAATTTTAAAAGAATGTTTTAAGTGTTCTGATGCATGTCCTCAATTTAAAAGTCTCGGAAAAGGGTAAACTTGGCAACAAGTAGAAGAGAGCGTTCGCTAATGCATTAGGGTGAAAAGACCAGTATATAAAAATGAACCAAAAAGCAAATCGTTAAAAAAGGTAAGGAATAAAAGAAAAACGGCAAGTTCCCCGGAACAGGATCTCCATCCTGACAGGGACCGCTTTCGCGGTACAATGCTCTACCCACAGAGCTGCATTTGAAGATTATATATAACAAGTGGACTATGAACTGCAAGGAACAAGTAGGCAAAGATTATAAAGAAAAGTGTTTTCACTCTGAGATGACATTCCACAATAACTCAGCTGTTTAATTATTGACTAATTTTCAATTTCAGTGGCGTTCCAATGCATCCCCTCGATTAAGAGTTTAGGAAAAGGGTAAACTTAGAAATAAGTAGAAGGAAGCGTTCGCGAAAGCATTATCGTAAAGAGACCAGTATATAAAGACATTCCAGACTATAAATCAGCTGGATATTAAATGAGAAAACCTTAGAAACAAATCGTAAAAAAAGGTGAGGAAAAAAAAAAAAAAAGATAAGCAAGCTCCCCTGAGCAGGATCTCCAACCTGACTGGGACCGCTTTCACTATACAATGCTCTACCCACTGAGCTGCGGGGAACTTGCCACGAAGGGATAGTAAATTTAAAGATTATATTTAATAAGCAGACTTCGAACTGCAAGGAACACGTGAGCAAAAATTCTCTAAGGATAAACATTTTTGGGTTCAAAGATAACATTACTGAAAAAAAACTTTGCTGTTTGATTTAAAATGTTCAACCCAGTAGTGTTGCGGTACATGCTCTGCTCCCTCCATTTAGAAGTGTGGCCGGGAAAAGGGTAAACTTGTCAATAAGTGGAAGGAAGCCTATGCTAATGCATTGAAGTGAAAGACCAGTATACCAAGACATTCGAGACTATATATCAGTTGACTTTAAAATTAGAAAACTTAAAAACAAATCATAAAAAAGATTAAAAAGAAAACGGCAAGCTCCCCGGAACAGGATCTCCATCCTAACTGGGACCGCTTTCGCGGTACAATGCTCTACCCACTGAGTTGCGGGGAACTTGCCATGCTTGGAGAGCAAAATAAAAGATTATATGTAACAAGCAGACCACGAACTGCAAGGAACAAGTGGGCAACGATTCTGAGGAAAAATGTTTTTCACTTTAAGGTAATATTACGACAAAAACTTTGTTGTTTGATTTAAAATTGTTTAAACTCAAGTGTTCCGCTGCATGCCCTCAATTTAAGCCAGGAAAAGGCTAAACTTGCCAAGAAGTGGAAGGAATGCATTGGGGTGAAAAAGAGCTTTATACAAAGACATTCCAGACTATTTATCAGCTGGCTATAAAATGAGAAACCTTAAAATAAATCGTAAAAAAAGAGGTAAAATCAAACAAACAAACAAACAAACAATCTTTTCTCGCGTCTTCCCACATCTCGCATGGCTCCAAGACCGATAGGAAACGAGAGAAAATTCGGTTTACTGCTTATATAAAATAACTTTTTTTTTAAATCTTTCAATTTTCTAGAGTTTATTCATGCAATAACTGATAGGTTTTTGACAAATCAGGACTTAAGTTGCATGTCAGTTATTTTGATAAAAAGTAAGGACCTTCAAGGAATCATTCTGTCGATGCTGTATGTTACTTTAGTGAGTTCTACTTATCCCGGCCACGCCCTAATTTTCTGCCTTAGTGATCTTTCTCCTCTCTGGACCTGGGATCTCCCCGTTAAGATTAATACATTTTCAAGTAGAAGAGATAAAAGTATGAACTTGGGAAAATGGTTTGATTTAGCATTATGTTTTCAGAACTAAAATTGCAAGAAATGTATGGCAGACACTACTGAGAATTATATTTACATCGACGGAGTTTTAACTCTTTATACGCTGCGTTGATCAGGTGTTCCCTTTTGTTTAGAGTTGCACCTATATTCTCGGTCAGATGATCTTTCAATACGTGGCAAGCTCATCCCCTCCCTGGTGCCCACCCATTTTGCATGTGATGACAAGAATAAAACTTTTTTTCCAGACGAAGACATTCCACATGATACCTCAATTTTCTTTGTTTAAATTCTTTAATTCAAAGTCTGAGCCGAAGGAAGCAAAAATAAATAACTGACAAACTTTGTGACCAAGTTAACTTCGAGAGTGAAACGTTTCTTTTTTTCGTCAATCTCTCTCTGGGTTCCGCCGTAACCAAGACAATATTTTTCCTTCTTCTCTTAGAGGCTCCCCAAGCATAATATCTTCATGAACCACTAAGAATTCGTGCTGATGTTTGGAAACCAAGATGTCACTCAGACTTGACTGGTTCTGTTGTCCTCGTTTCATCTTCAGTCCCTGTAGCCTTGGTCCATTCTCCAAAAACATCTTGCAAGATCTTAACCGCGGGCTTAGATGCCTCTAGCTCCTCATGCACTCGCCTGTAAGCGCCCTGTACAGCGGATACTAGACAGAAAAGAGGAGAAACATTTATAAGCCTACATGAAGCTAAAGAGTGAGACTCCATTGAAAACACAATAATTAGCAGTCCCGAAGAGTATCAGTAAATAGCGATATACCATCTTGAAGAAAAAAATGAGCATGCCCACTTTACAATCTGGTGTTGCTAAGAAACAAGGCGTTGCCTGACAACAAGTCGTGTAATGCAACCCTGAGGAGTTGTTTTCGACAACTAGAAACCTCGATAATTTGAAGGTCCTTGTAAACCAAATGATTTTTGTTTCTCTTCATATTATACCTTTATACTTCGTCTCCTAAGATGGATGAGCTCCGACAAACATTTAACTTACTCACATTTTTCAATTGCTGTATTATCTTCCTTTTGATCTTCAAATGACGACTCCTTTTGGAAAAAAAACGAAACTTTTGAACCTCTAAGTTCCTTTACTTCGTTTAAGTTTATCTCTGTGAAGTCAAAATAATTAAAAAGGAACCTAACTATCCGCTTTTAAACTGAGGGACTTTTAAAGGCCCCACTGACCTAAAACAAATCACACCTGACGTGGTATCACTTGAGCAGGAGAATGGATCCAGTGAGTTTGATGCAAACTTTCAATGCCCCTCCCCTCCCTTGTAAAGGACAAATTGAGGGGGGGGGGCGGGAGGAAGGAGAGAAAGGTAATGGTTAACTCTAAAACACAACATCATGACTCGGCCAGGGCTTGACCCAGGACCTCGTGATCCAGAGTCTAGCGTGCTAAACACTCCCCGAGGGGAGTTGGGAGAAACTAAACTCAGATAGGAGTAAATCCTCACCTGAGTTTGAAGGTACCGAACATAATCTGCCATGTAATCTTTCAATGCATCGTAGTTTTCCTTCAACGTAGAACTAAGAGAACTGGCGTCTTCTTCGGTCATCATTTGCGTCATATGACAAAGTGAATTGCAAAGCTGGCAAAGTATTTAGAGTTCAAATCAGTATACCAAACTGCAACAAAAATCTCCTTTTACCTCCCCTTTTACCCACCCCCACACTTCCCCAGCATGTGACATAAACTCTTGAGAGAGCTCTCCGCAAATGGCGATGAGAAGGAAGAATAGTATCCAATAGGGAATACTTTTTGATTTAAAAAACAACCCTTAAGAGCTAAATTGCAAGAACTACAAGGCAGAAAGTGTGGAGAATAAATACTTTTATCTTGGAGGTGAAGAGGTTTTAAGAGGTGTACACCCATGGGAAGTTACAGATGGAGATTTTATTTTTTGACTGGCTGAGACCTGGGGATAGCGTCGGGTCGTGAGATTTGCCAGAGGTCATCAAAGGTTTGACTCTTAGAGGCTTCAAAAAGACATGAGAAGCGCTGTAAACGAGAGAATCATTATATCATACCTGCTGCCTCAAATGATCTCTGTATTTGAATTCACTAAACTCTGTGACCTTCTCAGTACCTTTCAAGGCATCAATCAATGTGGCGAACACCCGACAGTACAGAGCCACGTCTCCATAGTAACGCCTCTCTGGGGGGATCGACAAGGGTAGGACGGCATTGATACGAACCTGGAAATAATTTAAAGTGGAGTTCACTCATGTCATAGCACAGGCAGTCTAGAGTAGGGATTAACGAATACTACTGCGCATAAATATCAGGCCCTGTTTACAAGCTGGTAGGGTAACCCTAGTGCTAGGGTTACCCTGGCAAGAGGGTTACCCTAACGCTCCCACATTTCTTTTTTTTTTCATCGACGTGTTTACAAGGCAGCTAGGGTTACCCTAGCACTAGGGTAACCTTAGCTGAGCGCTAGGGTTACCCTAGCGCCTGGGTAACCCTAGGGTTACCCTAGGGTTACCCTAGCGCCAGGGTAACCCTTGCTGCCTTGTAAACGCTCTGCTGGGGATAACTCGCCTACCCTGGACACCTTTTTACTTGTTTCCAGACCCTTTGAACATTGATAACAATGCGTGCGGTTACCAAGCATACGTAAGTTGTCCCGGGTGGTAGGGTAACCCTACCTGTGAAATTTTGCTTGTAAACCCGGGCTATCTTTGACCCGCCTGCTAGGGTAACCCTAGCAAAAGGGTTACCCTCCTTGCTTGTAAACAGGGCCTTAGTGTGCACTAATACAGTGTTTGTCTGGTAAAGTTGTGCTTCTTTACGTCCTACGAGATTGATCTTAGAAACGGGTAAGACATAGGTAAGTTAATTTCAACTTTTCGCATTTACCGCTTACTATAGCCTTGTCTCGATACAGAATGCCATCGTGGTTTGTATCATAAAATTCATTTACCACAAATTACCTACAAAACTAACCTTAAAGTTCTTGCAGTCGCGAATTACATTTTCCAAACCAATGAAAATCTGAGCCTACGTAGAAAAGAGTACTTTTTAGTTTCAGTGTCCAAATGTAAGAGCTAATAAGGGGGAGGGAGGAGTTATGTGGTGGGAGGGGGTAGGGAGTATTAGAAAGGTTAAAAGAAAATTATCAGTTTTTCAAGTAGATTAGCAAAAGGATATGAGAAATACTGGGTCCAAAGAAGCTACTCTATTTTGGCACACCCTTGAAATTTTTCTTTAAGTCATCAAATTTCAATCTATGTTAATATTTTTCATTCTTGACCTTCCTTATTGTCTTGTCTATCTAAAAAAACCAACATTCTTTAATCCCCATCAAGTTGAACGTAGGTTTGTACGTCGCATAAAGTGACACAAAATACAGTGACGTGGACCTTTCATAATCACCGAACATTTTTTAAATGTTTTTTCAAGGCAGAGCACGACTGATAATGTCACTGAGAAGATAACTTCTATTCTCCTCAAATTTTTACTAAGCGTTGTAGTGAAAATGGTAAACGGAAGATAGATATTGATAAAGCAAACACCAACCGTCCAAGGTGCTGTGCCGATTGGCAAGAAAGGATTGCGAAACACATTGCCAACGGCGTAACAGGCATTCCAGCGAACCTAGTGACCAAAAAGAGTTTGAATCAATTATAGTCAGGAAATGAAATAAAAATGACGAGAACAAACCATAACCGGAGAACTTAAGGACAAAGAAGCTGTATTCTATCCAGGTCTCTGTACCATAATACGATCAGCATAACGCTGCTACAAAACGGGATCTCAATTGATTGTAAGTTAACCTCCTAAATTTCGTAAAGTTTTCCTAATGATTAAGTTATACCCATGAATACTTCCGGATGGAGACCACAGCATAACAACCCACGGAGTCGAAGTTTTTCTCCCTCCCGCGTTCCTTCACGGAAACGACCTAAGTTTTTATCATACTTAATTAATTCTGTCAAATGGGTCACAATCGGCACCATCGGCACCGTCGCTGTCGTCGTCGTCGTCGTCAACAATATCGTTACCGTTCTCATTATCATCATCCCAACTGGTGACACTGGTACCACTCCCCTCCACTCCCCTCCCCTCCCCTCCCCTCCCTCCACTCCTTACCTTCATAAGCCCTGAGCCGACGTTTCTCACCAGCGCTTGAACAGCATTCTCCACCGCCTCCACAAAGCCCGGTTTATCTGAAATGAGAAATCAGATCAGCATTGACAACAGAGATGTTTCAAATGTTTTCTCCACTTTTTTTTTTCTCATGCAGTATAACACACCATGCCTGATCCAGTCACGGAGTAGAATAAAGCGTGTTTCTATTGAGTGTCGTTAAACCAAACCAACAATGATCTTCAAAAGCCAATCAAAATAAAGGAACGCATCACAAGGAGCCAATGAGAATTCAAAGCAAAAACATGCAAACTGGCTAAAGCGCGGGAAAACGCGGGTTACCTTGTCTCGCTCGTGTTAAGTTTTGCACTGATTGGTTGAGATAATGGCGCAACTTTTCTTGACCAATCACGGAGGGTATTGATTGCATTAGTAAAACCAATACAATCCCGGAATACTTTCGACGAAGATTTCTCCAAAAGTGCACTTAGCGATGTTTAACTCTTACTCAAAGATGACATCCTGATGTAGCGGAGAAAGTTTCCTAATGCTCTGACAGCGTTGGACTTCACCTGAAGCACATTACAAGATAAAAAAAAAAAGAAAAATCAGGCTGCTATGTTGAGATGTGTAAGTCTTACAATATTTCCCCTAAATCACGACTCTTTTTTGTAGTTTGTTGTTGTAATTTGATCTTATACCGTGTGTAAATGCGTAAAAACTCACCTTCTCGTTATCATCCGCCGCTGCAATGGAAGTATTCAACAGCTTCAATAGCAACATGTCTGAAAAATCCCCCATAAAACTGGTATCTCCACAAGACCTGAATAATAAAACAACGCGACGTGATGTAGCGCAACGTGACAGTTCATGCTACATAGAAAGCTTACCCTTCCATAAGACGACAAGTTCTGCCTATATTTGAATACTTTGAACAGAGGCCACAAACATGGTCGGACGTAAACTTACAAGTATATATAAAAAGTCCAGAGAGCAGCTTTCTGCTTTACTTACATATTCGTCACCAGAGAGTCACTGAGATTAGCCAGTGACCAAGCTGCCTTCATCCGCACCATTATCTTAGGATCCGCCATGGCTGCGAGCATGGCATTAGCTGCGTCTGCTACAAACAGCACATCATCTCTCAGGCAAGGGTACAGAACAAACACGCCCAGAGCACGTGCTGATGAGGCCTTGGACACGAGATAAACGACATGGAAGTCAGTACAGGTTTAAGGTGTTTATTATACCTCAGGCTTTGAAGAAATGGATGATTTGTTTGGCTCAAATTGCGCAAGGGAAAAAGAACGATGTAAGTGGCCTTCGCTCAAACCTGGGTTAAATAAGGGAAGGTGCATTTTTTAATTTTTTTACCTTCACATTCTTGTCTTCATCATTGGACAAACCAAGTAAAAGGGTGATGCAAAGAATACGCTTGTGTAACTGGAATGAAACAAGAGACAACGGGAATAAACGCACTTTAAAAATGGTTAGCGGTGTTTTAAATTTAACAACTTCTCACCAAGGCGTGCAAAGTCACCCGGATAGCCAACCTGCCAAATCTGCCTTAAAGAATCGCTTCTAGATCTTGATGGGAATCTCAGTCTCGTAGCAAGCTACCTCCACCCAGGCCCCAGACAGATTCCCTTTTACATCGCCGGTACCCATCTACCCTCGTCTCGTAACCAGGTCTTTGACGGCCTTCAGTTACAGTTGCACGGTTGGACCTGGGTACGTGATTTCCATCTGCCTTCCTGGGTGTTAAGAGACACTTTGGGAGTACAGTATCTTGCCCAGCATTGATTTTGTAAATGGAAGGGGTTTGGTGGAATCCCAATAAATTGAACCGCTCTTGGAAAAGACAACTGATATGAACTATCCAAAGGTTCGACACATTGGGGCTAAAACATTGTATTTGACCAGAGAAAGAGGCCAGTTTTGGTGTGGATTGTCTAGAGTTAGAGAAACTTTGGCCTTGGGAACTAGGGATTCTACTGTATTGCTATCTGAGGGGACTCACTGCAAGTTCGTTAAAGATAACAGCTCCAATGTTTGACAGACAGTCAACTGCAGCACTACAAGAAGGAGCAGACACAGAGCTACCCTCTTGTATAACAGTGATGAGAGGACCGTCCAGTAACTTCAGCCAGAATTGTAAAATCTGTAGAAATAAAACAAAACACCATTATACAAAAACAACAAATATGATTAGACCAAACAGTTTTTGAAAGTGTGATAAGAGAGAAAAGCATGCAAGGTAAAATCAATCTCCGCTTTCGAGCCAAGTGATGCCTACGGCCCAAACTTATCCTGGGTTCTGTAAGATAAAGCGATGGGACTAAGGCTTAGTCCGTCATAGGCTACCCCACAGTATTTCTTCAGGTTTCCCTTTCAGTTAGCAGGGTACCAATTCACATTCTTGAGTGGCGTAAGGCACTGGCATTACGTGTCTTGCGCAAGAACACAACAAAATGAGCCAACTCGGGACCCGAACATGGACACCCCACCCCACCCCACCCTGTGCTCGAGCACAAGAACCCTTAGATCACTACGCCTCGATCCAAAAGTTAGGAAAACAGCAATGGAAGTTTTTAAAAAAGCTACCCTCAAAAGTTGTACCAATCCCAACTTTACATGTAACACAATGATTGTGTACTTGAAGTTTAATACTTTAATGAGTTAACAACTGAGCTGACCTGTTCTTTAGAAACTGCATTCCTATCAGTACGGCTTGAAAATTCAGCATACATTGCCCGTGCAATTTCCTCTAGAAGCTACAGGGTAAAAGAAAATTGCATCGTTTTTGATGAGCAATGATGGGACAAATAGAGCTTCAAATTCAGAACTAACCCTTGCAGAAGCACTAACACGTATCGTTTCATGAACACATGAATCAAAAACCGGGAAACGGCCTAAGTGTATCAGTTCATGTAAGCTTCTAATACTGCAGGACTTATGGTTTCCTGCTACTTACAACTGTATTGTTGTGTATCGTGGAGAGGTTCATAATGATAAACACTTCGACACCACATTTCTAGGATACCTCTGCTCAAGGGGCATAAAAAACTGAAAAAACGCTTCCATATGGAAGGGACAGCTCTATTAGAAGTACACTTTTCCTCGTCTTAACCCTTTGCACCCTAACATTAGTATGCAAATTATCTATACTGTTCTAGGAGAAAGTTTCCTAATGCTCTGACAGCGTTGGACTTCACCTGAAGCACATTACAAGATCAGAAGAAAAAAAAAATCAGGCTGCTATGTTGTGATGTGTAAGTCTTACAATATTTCCCCTAAATCACGACTCTTTTTTGTAGTTTGTTGTTGTAATTTGATCTCCTTGTAACCACTTCCTGTAGTGGTTACAAGGAGATTTTGTTGAATAGAGAGCTTTTTGGGTTTGTAATCATTTCCTTTACTCTCACGACCTCAAAGTTTGATTTAGGGGTGATACTGTTGGGACAAATTATATCATCACCTTCATGGCAGACAGCGTGAATGGTACATCCACATCCTTTAAACATGAACAGGCCAAACTTCTGAGACGCTCTACCACAATGGGACTGCCACAAAGAAGAACATAACTCTTGTGAAAAACACACTGTTCAATAAGCAAATTAAATCATTCACAGCTTTTGCTCCTCTGATCTAATCTCCTGCAAAGTTGTAAACAGTAGGCTGCCTGGAAGATTAATCTAGTAAGGACAAAGGTTGTGAAATCTTTTCATCAGGCAAAATGACCACAAGTTTGGGCGAAATAATGAGCAGGCAAGCCGTATACTCGCGAAAATCGCCATTTTGAGATGATCATGGGTTACTTTTCTCTGATAAATTGGCTGTTTTATGTGGTTCAGAGTTTGTTTACAAGGTTATGTAGAAATTAGCAAATTTCGACGTCAAAAATGTATACTTTTGCTTCTGAAAATTATGCTTTTTAGTATATTTTTTTTTTTTTTCGCACGGACTGATGACATCTGCCACAATCACCCTGGTTACACCGAGAAGGCAAAGCCACCTTAAAGCTTGAAAATCCTTCAACCACAAGGCTCGATAAACTGCCAACATTTTGTTGATGCACCTCATTTAGACTGTTTACTCCGTTAAAACACACATTATTTTCTGAGGGAAAGGGGAAGGGAACAGACGCGGCTCCGATAATTCTCCCTCCGCCGCATACGCCTGTGAGCACATTTACCTTAGTAAGAAGACATAGCTCTTCACAAAGGACCCCAAGAACTGCAGAGCTTCCAAACGCACAACCAATGAGTTTTCTCTCCTATTTATAGTGTTGACACACCAGTTTATGAGCCATGGAGACTCAAGCGGAACCTGTAAATCAGGTTTCAAATCAACTGAGGCACTGTCAGGGGTAGTGTTGTTGTTGTTTTGGGACACATTCCTGTTCCCAAAGTTGATCTCCTCCGAAGTTGGCCTCATTATTTCAACCACCTCTTGTAGCGGGGTGTGTACGCACACAACCATTTTTAGACAGGATAACACTGCTGTTTGCAGGTTTGGATCTGGGCATCAAACAAACAGAGAGAGAGAGTTACTGAGTAACAAGTTCATTTAACTGTGGAACACATTAAGTTTGCTATACTGCGCTAAGGGATCGGTTTACAAAACTTTCGCTAGACTCTTAAAAAATCCGAAGAACGACTTGTTCACTCGCGATTTCCGCGTTTGAGGTTCATTGCATGTATCACGTTGAGTTCTGATTGGCTACTTGTGCTCCATACCCATGTTTATTTTGGCTGTTATGATTACCGTGGTTAAAGTTTTTCGACACCTAGCATTTAGTACAAACCATGCATTTCCTGTAATAATTCTTCGAAAAGAAGGTTAAATGAAAGCCTGTTTAGTTTTTTTTTCAAGTTTACTCCATATATCGAGCTAAAACTCTTGTAATGTTTACGGAAGGTTCTCACTATACGCTAGTTTGTTTCAGTCGAGAATCCTTTCAATAACAGCATACCTTTGAGGGCGAGTAAAGGCCTAAGTTGTCTGACAACTTTGCTGACGAGTCCTTCCTTCAATCTGTTGTATGGCGAGTTCAGTACCAGAATCGACAGACACTGAAAAGTCAAAGTAGAACAGCAGGTGAGGACACTAACTTTTAAACATCACGCTAAAAGTATGATGCAGACCTTGAAAAAACAGGCGGGAAGCTCATGGTAGAAAGATAGTATATTACACAGCGGCACAATGATTTTCATGGCCATTTCTTTTTAAAAACCGATCGCCTCTTAGTCACTTGCGTTTTCCCGCGATTCAAGCAGTTTACTTGCTTTTACCTTGAGCCCTCATTGGCTCCTTAAAATGCTTTCCTTTGCTCTGATTGGCTTTTATGCTTCAAGCAGTTTGCTTGTTTTTACCTTGAGCCCTCATAGGCTCCTTAAAATGCTTTCCTTTGCTCTGATTGGCTTTTATGCTTCAAGCAGTTTGCTTGTTTTTACCTTGATCCCTCATTGGCTCCTTAAAATGTTTTCCTTTGCTCTGATTGGCTTTTATGCTTCAAGCAGTTTGCTTGTTTTGACCTTGAGCCCTCATTGGCTCCTTAAAATGCTTTCCTTTGCTCGGATTGGCTTTTATGCATCAAGCAGTTTGCTTGTTTTACCTTGAGCCTTCATTGGCTCCTTAAAATGCTTTCCTTTGCTGAGATTGGCTTTCATGCTTCAAGGAGTTTGCTTGTTTTTACCTTGAGCCCTAATTGGCTCCTTAAAATGCTTTCCTTTGCTCTGATTGGCTTTTATGCTTCAAGCAGTTTGTTGTTTTTACCTTGAGTCCTTTTTGGCTCCTTAAAATGCTTTCCTTTGCTCTGACTGGCTTTCATGCTTCAAGGAGTTTGCTTGTTTTTACCTTGAGCCCTCATTGGCTCCTTAAAATGCTTTCTTTTGCTTATATTGGCTTTTATGCTTCAAGCAGTTTGCTTGTTTTTACCTTGAGCCATCATTGGCTCTTTAAAGTGCTTTCCTTTGCTCTGATTGGCTTTCGTGCTTCAAGCAGTTTGTTGTTTTTACCCTGAGTCCTCATTGACTCCTTAAAATGCTTTCCTTTGCTTGGATTGGCTTTTATGGTTCAAGCAGTTTGTTGTTTTTACCTTGAGCCCTAATTGGCTCCTTAAAATGCTTTCCTTTGCTCTGATTGGCTTTTATGCTTCAAGCAGTTTGTTGTTTTTACCCTGAGTCCTCATTGGCTCCTTAAAATACTCTCTTTCCTCATTGGCTCATGATTACTTTGGCTTTGGTTTTACAACACTCAATCAAAATGTGCTCTTAAAGAAAATAAATACTAGTTAATTGAAATACTTCACCTTTAATATCTGGGCTTTAGTAGTAGCTGATGTTTCTGCCACTAAAGCTTGCAGCAGACATCTGTGAAGTTCATGCACAATTCCACTCAGTTTTGCAGAGAAAGAGGTATAAGGCCGTGCTGATGGTGAAGAACTGTGCTGCTCTCTGTAAGAAAAGAAAGTAATAAAAATAGTGATTCAATAGTTATCAATCAGTAGTTTTATAATTGTCCAAAAAATGAAATAGAAGACCTAAACAAATTTCAAAGTGTCAGAGGTTTATTTATTAGTTGGAAGTTAGAATTTTAACTTTTCTGTTTTAAAAATCCTAGATTCTTTAATTTTCTTAGCTTTGAAATTCAGTTTAAGAGATATTACCTCTTACTTTGAAACTAAGACACAATAAAAATCTGTATTTTTTTTTTAATTTTATTTTTACTTGGCTTAATTATGTAAAAATTTATGTTGTTAAAATCAATGTCTTCAGTCATGAACTTGAAAAATTAAGAACTATGTGATGAAAGATGGCAGATGGCAATGCACAATATTTCAAGACTGATATATATATCTTATTAACCAAGCGCGAGGGCCATACTGGGAGAATATCAGCCCAAGGTCTTAACAGTACAGACCTCGCTGCGCTTGGTCCGTACAAAAAAGACCGAGGGTCAATATTCTTCCAGTACGGTCCCGAGCAAGCTTGGTTAATAAGAGATTTATTATACGACTGAAGTTCAAAGGGACACAATTGCGGTATCATTTGGGACCATTCGGGACAGTGCCTGGTCCAATACTGAGAGAATATTGACAAGCAATAGAGCATTTTGATTGGTTGATTTTAGTTATTGGCCCTCTGACTGCCCGAGTCATGTAATAAAGTTCTGTACCGATCTTCAGCAGCCACCAAGAATTGTCTTGAGCCATCCAACAAGTCCATAAGGACAGCCACTCCACCAGCTCGGCCCTGAAAAAGATCAACTGATAGCATAAACATCACAACAATTTTAAAGCCGAAAATTCATCTTTGACTTCCTCAAGAATAAATTTATAACATGATACATCTCACACTTCCATAGCAGCTAATACTTTACATAAAATACAATCACCCACCTTTGGAGTGGGATCCTTCAGAATTGTTGTGAAAATGGACCATGATGCTGACATTGTATTATCAGGAATGAACGAGGACCAGTAACCAAATAGAACCTTTTTGTCTGTGTTCTAAAAATCCAAAATTATTTTGAAAATCTTAGAATTTTTTCTCAAAGAAGTCTTGGATTTTCTCCTTTTAAAAAACCTAACAAAGCATAGGGCTCAAGAAACAACGTTTGCCTATTCATCCCCTGACCCTTTGATTCCCTGACGTGATACGTCAACTTTGTTTTTAATTCTCCTTGCAATTACTCCAATCTCTATCACAATCAAAAGCAGATTTTACAAAGACATATCAATACACATAGTACTTACTTTAATCACAGCTTGAAGACAAAGAAGAACATTCAGGCGAACTTTTGATGTTACAGACCTGAAAAGTGCAGTTGTCAAAAAAGTACTATTCACTGTACAATTGAGGTTAAATTGCTTAGCAGAGGTTCCTGCGATATTAAGTACCTTTGAAAAAAGTAGGTCTTCATACAAGTCTAGTGCCCATACCAGCAGGACCTTATCTCTGTTTCTGTAGTAGGAAATGAGTGCAAGCATTGTAACTCTGGTTGAAAGGGAAGCTATTCAACTGCAGGTTTCTGCACACCC